AGGAATGATCGCCTCATGGTCCTGACAAAGTGTTGTTATTTTTCGGGTCGATCAGAAATCCAATATGGCCGCCACGGCCGCCATTTTGAAAACCTATTTCAAACTTAAAGTCAAGTTCTGCTGGACCGATTGAACTGAAAGTTGGTAGGAATGATCGCCTCATGGTCCTGACAAAGTGTTGTTATTTTTTGGGTCGATCAGAAATCCAATATGGCCACCACGGCCGCCATTTTGAAAACCTATTTCAAACTTAAAGTCAAGTTCTGCTGGACCGATTGAACTTAAAGTTTGTAGGAATGATCGACTCATGGTCCTGACAAAGTGTTGTTATTTTTCAGGTCAATCATAAATCCAATATGGCCGCCACGGCCACCATTTTGAAAACATATTTCAAACTTAAAGTCAAGTTCTGCTAGGCCGATTGAACTGAAACTTTGTAGGAATGATTGACTCATGGTCCTGACAAAGTGTTGTTATTTTTCAGGTCGATCAGAAATCCAATATGGCCACCACAGCTGCCATTTTGGTAAACTATTTCAAACTTAAAGTAAAGATCTACTTGGCCGATTGAACTGAAACTTTGTAGGAATGATCGAATCATGGTCCTGACAAAGTGTTGTTATTTTTCGGGTCAATCAGAAATACAATTTGGCTGCCATGGCCGCTATTTTGCTACTAAGTTCTAATAGGCCGATCTCACTTAAAATTGGTCTAGGAATGATCAGCTCATGGTCCTGACAAAGTTAAGTTAACATTATACTATTTTTTACTCAAATTGGTACATATTTCAACAACAAAAATAAATACTATAGACTCAGGTGACCGTTAAGGCCCATGGGCCTCTTGTTTATGTTGTAACACTGTTTTTGAGGAACAAATTAACGTTTAGAAATATAATACTACATTCAGAAATCGCGGTGGCCAAGTGGTACAGGTGTCTGACATTCTGCTACCACTAGCCCTCCACCACTTGGTCGCAGGTTTGAAGCCTACGGGAGGAAGTGGCCTGGTACTGGTCGTTGGTCGGTGGTTTTTCTCCGGGAACTCTGGCTTACCTCCACCGCCGCCACCTGGCACGTCCTCGAATGACCATAAAGCTGTTAATAGGACGTAAAATACAAACAAACCAAACCAAATCAGAAATCGTTTTAAGATTTAAACACGTTTGACCAATGGGACCCATGGAAATTTGTCAGGGTGATCTGCATGATATAAAATATTTCAAATACATTACAAACATAATTAAGCTAGTATGACGTATAGGGCTATTTTGCTGCGTATTCCTTTTTTGCGTATTGCAGAGTTATCTTCTCTTGTGAGCAGGTATTGATTGTTACGTCACTGGTTTGTGAGAGTAACGTCATAATTTTCTTGACAAAACGACGTAATTTTCTCACACAAACCAATGACGTAACGATCAATACCTGCTCACAAGACAAGATAACTCTGCAATACGCAAAGATGGAATTGATACACTTCAAAAGTCAGGTTCCCTACAATGCTTACTATCGCCCATCCTCGAGACTCCGGGGGTTACGCTTACTCACGCTCTCTGCACCCCTGTAATATGTCATAGCAAAATTGAAGGCACAAAGATAGCTGTTGGATTGGTCCCGGGTAAAAAAAAACTGACCAATCGCCAGGCTGATATATGTCCTTTGAAGATTACAGAGGAGCGACATCCTTCTTCAAAGACAATCAATTTTATCGTCACCCGGCCGCGAGATTTGTTTGATGTACATCAAAGGATTGAACTAATCTTCTTGTTTCATACACAAGCTGGCACACACGGAGCCACCGACTTTGCTATTACATATTCCAGGGGTGCAGAGGGCGAATGTGAGCGTAACCCCTGGAGTTTCGAGGATGATCATCTATGAAATCTAAGTATTACACCCTCGGATTTTAATAATTCGAGGTTCTTTTACACCGCTTTATCACAACCTAATTCGTAGGTGGTCTCAAAGCGGTTCACAAGTTATTATCCGAGGTTATAGGACCTTTGCAACCAGCCAAAATCTTTCTCAACTCCCTGTGAGCATACAGCCGGTGCTGCCATTTCGGCAATAACAGCTAGCATTCAACAATCAATTCTAGCACTGTCAAACCGTGTACTCATTTACAGTTTTGTAGACTGGAAGCAGCCTTCGTTATTTTTCTCCCCAAACGTTTTCGCCTTTAGGAACATAACGTTACGTTTTCTTTTGTATATTTGTACAACGGAATGATATGCATACAGATTGTCTGTTGTGTTTTACCCATGCCTATTAAACAACAAAAAACATAAGAATACAAATATATACAAAATTATTTATTTCAAAACATATCATTATTTGGGGTTAGCATTTCTAGGATTTCCTATGCTGTGTAATGTAATTTTATCTTATCAAATTCGGCGACGAATAGTGTGAATGTTATTTTACGTTCCTTATAATTTAATAAATGTATAAGGCTTAAAAAACTACACTTTAGAAATAAACAAATCAACTGTTTTACATGGAGATGTAATTTGGAAATGTTCCTTTTGATAAAATAGACTTAATATGTAGCAGGCTTACATACAAAATGCAAATAAAGGGAAACGCTTGCTCGACATGTCAGCATATTTGCAATATTTGCGTCACATTACGAACTAATATTGCACAATTCATAACTATATATGTATAACATAGGATAACATTATGTTTGTAACTAAACGCTAGCTAATACTGTTCTGTAGTATCACACTGAAGATAATATGAAAATATTGTGACATACTGTACACGTATATATTTTGGCGAAATAAAATTTTCGCGCTTTTCGTTTAAATTAGAAAGCATGAAAAAATACTATAGTAACTAAATTCAAAATAGACTGTTGTTGTGTCGTGGCGCTAATTATGATTTGTATAACTTGAACACTGTCAGAGAGACGCAGGAATATGGTCACAGTGAAATGATTACACTTAAAGAATACTCCATAAAAATAGTATATTACGACTTTTCTAAAAATAGTTTTAAATCTGCGTGTGGTACACTGAAGTAAAATTTCGATATAATGATCGTTTTTAATATATCCTAACAGTTATGATGAAGCAATATTTACATTTTTAATAATTTTCATATTTTGATCAGTTTTCGATATCAGATGACCGTTTGCTTAAATATTGAAAATGACGTCATTGTTTCAACAAAGTCAAATATGGTAAATGACGTCATAACTTGAAAAATGCAGGCAAAGTGTGATACTGAATCAAAATGTGAATAATGAGTCATATTTTGAGATATATTAATTTTTAATAATGATAGTGTGATATATGACGTCATAATAGTAATACCGATGTCATCAATATTGTCATATCACTATCAGTTACAACATAGGACTATTTATAGATATACTAAATTACTTGTCTACAAACTAGAATAAATATCAACATTTTTCATCAATACTGGAAGACGTATGATTATTTGGTAGAACACGGAGGTTACCTCCGTTGAGTATTATAAAACACATTAAAACATACAAAAGTATATACAAACTATATATTTTAAATGGACGATTCCGATTACTCAAGTACTTCTGCTGCGTCTTTATATCATAATTCATTGTGACCTCATATAGAAAGGATTCGCATCTTTTGAAATGATTTGGATGCGTAAATTTCTGTCTAGATTTTTGATATACAGTAAAACCTCGATATAATACCCCTGTTTCATTAGCCACCTCGCTTACCGCCAACATATACTAATGTCCCTTTTTCTGAAATATCCCCTTTTCCTCGTTTTCTTACGAATTCCTGAACATGCTTCCCTCGATTTATCGCTGAACCCCTTTATAACGCCAAACTTTCTCGGGACAAATGATGGCAATAAAACGAAGTTTTACTGTACAACAAATTTATGGAGAAGCCAATTTATTTCATCACTCGAAAAATCGATTTACGTGAGTTCCGCGATAAACGGAGAAGGAGTGTTCGAAATCGCCCATTGCGTTTTTTCACGTTGACAATAAAACATTTTGGCAGTTGTAGGTTATATTGCAAAACATTCGTGATTTTCATGGCTACAGTTTAACCACCAATATTACTTAAAATAGGAAATAGGTGAAAAACCAGGAAGAGAATACCGAAGTGTCAATTCGGAGTAAAAATCGATAAACTTAAAAAAATGTCTAAAGATCGAATCACTCAGGGCTGGCAAAAATGAAGTGCACACGGATAATTCTTATAATTCTGTACACTGTGGTCAAGGCTGATATGTCTCCTGAATTACTACCTGTACCGTTGGACAGTGGATTAATGGTGTCTAGGTTAACAAGCCTTGACTGTAAATGAGCTAAATTGGGAATCATTACATCTGTATAATACATTTCAATTTACAATTTCGACAAAGGAAAACACATACAAATCACTAAAACGCTATCGTTATATATTGTGTGTGGATTTGCTTTATCATATACTGCAAAAACCTTTATTTTTGGCGAACACTTATTGTTGAAAACACTTTATTTTACCATTTAAAAAAGGCGGGCGCTACAGTGTCTATTTATTTACAAACTTTACACAATCTATGAACAAAGGAATAAAATAATCAGTTGAAATACAACAAAGCACGCACTTATCTAAAATAAATAGGTCAACAAAAACCAAAGTAAACACTTTTACTGCTTTATATGACAATTTTTCCATTTTAACAAAAACGCGTTACTTTTTAAAAGGTTAATAACTCAATTATTCATAAAAGGGAGATAACTATGACTAGACTGAGAATATTCCGTCTTTGCGTATTGCAGAGTTATCTTCTCTTGTGAACAGGTATTGATTGTTACGTCATTGGTTTGTGTGCGAAAATTACGTCGTTTTCTCAAAAATTGATGACGTTACTCTCACAAACAAATGACGTAACAATCAATACCTGCTCACAAGAGCAGATAACTCTGCAATACGCAAAGACGGAACAGAGGTTTGTGTCGTACATGACTTTAACTTAGTTAGATATATACAGCAAAATAATATCATCTATCCTTAGATTGTAATGGCTCATTATGTTTCATCTGTCTATTAAAAACAAGCCCTCCTACTATACCAAAACACATAGACCCGGACCACGCCGATATCCTTTGGTCGAGAACGAATCTTCTATTTTAGCATACTCTACTACTATGTTGTACTTTGATATCAAGATTGAGATTTATTTATGAATATATTATGATATACATATAGGTACTTATGTTTACAAAAAATCAATCTTTTTTAAATGAATTTTAAATATCATATTTGTATATACAAATGGAATAAAACTCTTCATTACATAAAATTTGAAAACGCAAACAACCATATTGCACTATCTTGAACTTTAGATTTTGAACTTTCTGTAATAAATAAGAGCTATACAAATGTACACGGTGTATACTTCTGTTAGAGTTTTCACAACCCATACTCAGATGTTCGCAAAACTCGAATGCATCGGAATTTGTCGACTTAGAAATGTAAAGTGCTGAGCAAAGGGGAGTAACTCTGCTTTACTTGATCATGACATTGTCTCATTGCTTAACTTGTAAACAATTAAGAAACGCATATTCCTCCTAAATTGCGATTTTTTTACCAGATTTATATAAAAACTATTAAATATCATTTGGTGACATTATTGTGCAAAACATGTAAATGACAAACAGTGATTTTTATGAAGTGTATTCAATATTTACAACAAATATTATTTCAATGCATGAACGGAAAAACCAATATGGCTGCCATGATTTTCATTTTGGAAGACATTTTTCACTGATACTTCGGCATCTTTGAAAGCATACCATTGGTCATTGTCAACGCTTTGCCTTTTTTGTCTTAAATTGTTATAATTGCCCATCAATAAAACCGTATTATGTTCACTATGAGTACATAAATTCGTAATAATTTAATGGAGGGAACATAAATATATAAACACGTACGAACACTCTTGGACATCTTACCATATCAAACATAAAAAAAAAAATATCAAAAAACCTCGTGACAAAGTGTTTACACTAATTACATTTAAGGCACATGAAGAACATTTAATACATGCATTAGACAGTTTAAAATGGTTATTTGACAACCTTCTGAAACATATGTTTCATAAGATATCATAAGAGTCAAGGTCACATCTAAAAATAGACTTATGAGAACCAAATACTCAACTATGCGAGATCCACTTTTCAAATCGCAGATGGAAATGACTGAATTTTATATTGATTCAGTGAGTTCATGATGTTATGCAAATTGCAGTAAGGGGAATTTGTCTGTTGATGACGTCACTTGCGATAAATGATTGACGATACTGGCTCTATCGCACTGATTACTTTACAACAAAATACGACCAAAGATTCGTTGTATTATCTAGATACTTCTTGTTTCATGAACCAAAACCACACAATGACGTCATAACTTTATTTACGTCGATTGGAGATGAAATTACCCGTGACCTTGACCGATGTTTTGGAAACAACTATCATCGTGACAATAAGAATTGTAATTCTCGCTGCTTTCTCTATTTTTCAGTGTGGAAATGATTTTTTTTTACCAGTGATGTAATAGCCTTTCCATTACACTATCAGTGAGGCGCTTTCTTTGCTGCAGAATAATGCTTCACAGATAAAACGTTTTGCAGACATTGACTGACAATACAAAGCATTCATCAAAGGGATCCCGACTATTTTGCTTTCGATCATACACACACCAATGCTTTCGATATTTTGTACTGATCGTGAGCAAAGGTACAACACCTTCAGACTCCTAACTGTGAAACACATACAAGATGAATGTTTTTTCTAAGAATTTTGGCACTTTTTGAAAAGTTATGTGACGTCACGTCAACGGCACCACGTGATTGTCCATTCATAATGGATTATAGCACTATTGACCTCGTTTAATTTGTGTCTCTTGTACTGATTCCAGTGACTCCAATATCCATATAAAATAAAGTCAATTATAAATACAGTGTTAAGGGCAAGATGCTTTCCAATACCCATTGAAAATATAACAGGAATCTCGTTATAAATGAGAACGGGGCTTTTCAACGTCTCCTAATCACAACCGGAAATGCATCTCAATGGGAACGATTTTCTCCTTCAGTGTAAAATCGTGACCGGAAGTTCGATATGAATAGGAACGAGGTCCATCAACACCTGTTGAACACTCACTGTAAGTTCATCTTCATCAGAACGAGGCTCTCCGATTAGAAGTAATCATATTCTAACCTGCAACGAAAAAGCGTTAGACAGCATTATATATGGGTAAACAATAACAACGTTGATTATGATTGGACAATCATAATTAAAATTAAATATTGTAGATTAGAGGCTATATTATTATTTGAACCCATGAAATATTTTCGGAATTTAACATGTCTTACTGCACTGTTTATGTTTTCGTATAAACAGTTACCTTCCCTTAGCTTTGTTTTCTATATAACTGTAGCACAGTTGGACCAAGACAATTCCGTTGACCCTGCAGTTCAGTCAGTTAAAATGATAGTATAACAGTATGAAGTACATGGTTCGAATCCCGGTCCAGTCCCGCCGAACGTTTACACTCAGCACACTGGGATAGTTTTTTTTGTTTATATCACTTTCAGTTTTGTTTTGTATTAAAGTAACGCAGGTTATGTTTTTTTTCAGAAATGATTTATCAAAGCTATAGTCATGTCGAAAAATGCGCAGTTACAGTTATGGCAGTGGTACGGGGGTCCGTATCGCACGTCTGAAGATCGTTAGTATTATGAATAATATTTAAATATAGTAATATATTATCAATTGAATTGTGCACAAAGCAGTGTATTTAATTATTTAAGGCCGTAAGTATATGCTAAAGCTCATGTAAAATTGAAAATAAGTACGACACAACACATACACAGACACAATAGTGAAAATCATGCTTTCATGCATATCATTTATAATCATTTATTTCATTTAGAAAATTGTCGAAAATCATCCCAAAACACGTCTTGAAGGCGTAATATGACAGTTTGTGACGTATTGGCTGAAGACTAATTTCATTTAAACGTGATTCAATGTAGTTAATTATAGGACAGCGGCGCCCTTAATAAAATATACATCATAGCTTGTGTAATTGACTTCCGAATGATTCGGAAGTCAAATCTTCGGCAAACTTCAGAAATTATCGTCGGTTTATCTTTAACTAATATATAAACAATTAAGTAGCAATATGGGTTTGGTCGAAATTCCTTGTTCATCCGATAGTGTTACGGCGTGTTATGGTAATGATTTTTAAATGTAGGGTCGGACCTTTAAACGATACGATCAATTATTTAATTCATTTCTACAATTCGATTTAATTTCAAATTCGAACAAACAATGATGTATTTATAAAGGTATCCAAGGAACACAAGCACAACAATCAGAAAATGAAGCAGAAAAAAACAGGAATTTCTCATCCGTCTGTCTCAAATGAAATCAAAATTTAGGAGAAGCGTGCATAGTGGAAAAGCAGGTGTTCGATTGGATCATTTCCGAGGTGTTCCAAGTAAGAGAAATCAAAAGAGCACACACAAAGGGAGGTAAGTAGGTAACGCAAACTGATGCGGCTACAACATGCTGGCACACACAAATACCTCACGATAGGGGCCGGACGGTCATTGACAGAGTTATTGGCCTTTGGTGGTGGCCGGGAACGCTCTCGACGGCGCTGTTGTCTGTTCCGGTGCTCTGGGTAATCGGGAGGAGGGGTGTAGGGTGGAGGTCCCTCCTCATCTAGCAGAGTAGGGGGGATGTCGCACCAAACACGAGGACCATTGTTCTCGGTGTTAAATGAGTATAAACCGGCATCAGCGTCATATATAAAATCTCTACTCATGAGTTGCGCATGCGCTAGTACTGGATCCTCGTTTCCAAATAATTCAGGGTATAATGTGTGAATGTCGTCAGAACAATGGGCTGGAATGTTTTCTTGTGTTGTAGGATATGCAACATCGTCTGAAGCGTAACGAGGAACCATGTTTCTCGCATCTCTGACGTAATGTGTACGAGTTCTCGTCATATCACGTGACCGTCGTCCTCGGATACGAGGCTCTGCTTCGGTTACCCTAGCAACGTCTGGTCGATTAACGTCCGGACTTCGCCAAGGGTCCCTTACATCCCATGTTCTTTGTGAATTTCTTCCCGACTCGATTTCAGTCGGTTTCACAACATTGATGACAGATCTGTGACATATATTATTAGAACTATGTTGAATGTTGACCTGCTCACCGGAACTACCTACATTGTTTGAGACAGACGATGAGACCACGGGCCTAGTTAAGACTGTTGTACAAGTTGTGACAGTGGATGACGTTACATTTGTATTTTCATTACTAACCGAATATAGATATCTGGAGTTTTCACCGGATGTTGGTGCCGCTGTTGTGTACGTAGCTCCGCCTGGTGGGTAGGATGGCGTTGTTATGGCAACACTGTACGGCGGTGGTTCTAACGTCCGCGACAAGGCTTCGTTCGATACAGCTGTGTTGTTTTCTCTACCATCGGAACCTTGTTCACATGCGTTAGCACATTCGTCCTGATTGCCCCGAACAACTGGTATCCACGTCCAAATCTCGTCGTAATTCGTGAACGCGGGATTCACGCCCCCTCGACGTGGATCACTGGGGTCTACGCCGATTCGAAAAACGTTGGGACTGAAACAAAGGGGAGAATGGTGAACTATTTAATCAGAAATATAAATTCAGTTATGAATTTCACAATAAAGAACTGTCAATTCGTGTGATTAGTATAATTATTATTCATCAACACAGAAGAGGTCATTAGGGTCAATAAAAGTAGACAATTCATGTTAAACGAAAAACATCAAAGGAACGAAAAGGTAAAAGACAAACGCCAACTTAATAAACTGTAAAAGGGGGGATACTGACTTTTTCGGAAAGAGATTTGAGATAGGGCTGTTCCGCCAGTGTCGTTTAAAGAACGACGCATATACAAAACGCAGTAAATAAATAAATTATTTAAGAACGAATAAATTGTTCTATAGTAAAAATGTAAATATATGCATTGAATGGCGTTTTTAAAATTTGCATGCCGGTATGAATGCAAATCGGTTAATTCCATATTGCATGAAGCCCGCTAAAAATGCCGTTCGATCCCTATAAACATACGTAAAGGCAGTTCACGTCAACAGACATCTGGTGGAGTTAAACATGGAGATATAACTAGGTAAATATACAAAGGGAGATAATATTTTAAATAGACAAACGAGTAAATAATAAAAAATCATGGACGATATTCTTTATCATACCATGGAAGATAAAAATGCATTTAGGCTCTGATATCGTAGCAAGCTTATTCCGTCTTTGCGTATTGCAGAGTTATCTTCTCTTGGGAGCAGGTATTGATTGCTACGTCACTTGTTTGTGAGAGTAACGTCATCAATTTTTGAGAAAACGACGTAATGTTATCAAGAGAAGATAACTCTGCAATACGAAAAGACGGAATAGACAATAAACCAACGACTACCAGTGGAAGAGCAATAACTCTTACTTAAAGGGAGTTAACTCTCTTAGTTACCTTTCCCTTCGGCCATGAACGAACGCCTTCCTGTTGTTTTTCAGTATGCAGACTAGAAGCATCATAAGAACTAGCAGGAGAACGCCTCCCGAAGCCCACAGGATGATGATGACCGTCTCAATCTTCATCTCCTTTTTATTCACGATAATGTCAGTCGAATTGAAGGGAGCCATGGTCGTGGATGGAATATCTGTAAATAAGAGAGTTTTATGACAATAATGTTTGAATATATATAGAGTTTGATTATGCTTCAAGAAGAAATGTATTCATGCACATTTAAGGAGGCACGGTAGTCAAAAGGCGATCGTCTGGGCCGCTTTTTGACAAATAGTAAATTCGAGGTCATTGTAGACACGCGACGATCTAAATTATTTGTTATGTGAAATCACCAAAGGCGTCAAAATTAGCATTAATCTTAAAATCGTGTGTGCATTTCATCTGAAAGACAAATAAACAGGCCTATTGAGCCGGCTCGACCTTAGGACAGGCGTCGGTCTGCTGTTGTGATGGCCAGACCTTCGGTCACTGGCCTTAAAACTGAGATGTTGGGGTTTTCTTTTGTAGTTTGAATCGTGTTTAAATAATGAAGGAGGCTGATTATAAAACACACGTCTTAACTTGAACGTCCAGACTGTATCTGACGGTTGTTTTAAAACACCAGCCCCTTCATTACTATTTACTTTTGTAAATATACGTGTGTTTCTTCAGCTAAGTAGAATAAAGAAGAGAAAATGGTGGTTTTGCTATAAAAACGCTTTAACCTCATAGCATCGTATCGTCTGCTGGATAACCGAACTACTCGGTAGTGAAGCGGACGTAAAACCTCTCAAACAAACAAACAAACAAAAACAACCTCGCACCGGGTCACTTTCGATCGAGATTACCGTTGTCAAACAAACGGAACACTCAGAACAGGTTCCAGGTCTTACTTAAGAAACTTCGTAAATTGTATTCCCACATTGTATTAGCTAGCACATCTCGTCGTAAATTCTATGTTCCAAAGCTTTACAAGATACAAGATACAAGAAACTTTATTTAACGTCGCATACAGGTAAACACGGAACATTAGCTCTTGAGAGCTATTATTGCGACAAACATGTGTAAAAATAACAATAACATATTATATTACAAGTAAAGTGAGATAATCACATATATTAATAATAAAACAGTAATAATCATCACAGAAAAAGAAAGTATACATATCCCAGGTGATTTATTTGTATGAAAGAAAACGTTTATAGTCAATTTATTAGTTAGTATGCGGACAATCACGGATGTAAATCACTGAATGACACTGTTGTTCAGAGTTTTATTTACTAAAACTTTTTAATAAAAGTGTTTAACAAAAATATTAATGAAAAAGCGGAACTTGTATACACATTTATCGCTATTATTCAATGTACACAGATATTTTAAAGAAGAAGGAGCACGTGCATTGTAATTGGCATGGATTGTTAGAATATATTATCAAGCAATTTGTAAAAATACTTCAACATTTGATACACGTGTGGTCTTATCGATGGGTTGAAGATTATAAAACAAACAAACACATATATAAATAAATAAATAAAATAAATATACATATTTTTCTGAACATACATGCAAATGTGCATATATATCAACCCCGACAAATCTATCTGTTGACATTTTTTTCTAGTGATTAACAATGTATCCCGTGTTTAAACATCACTAAATCATCATCATCATCATCATCATCGATATCATGTATACAGCTATCTGGACGCATTGTCAATAAAAATGTCCAGGTGTTAAAAATAATCGTGCCCTCTAGGTGACAACGTGTGTCCACGGTGGGTTCAGTCCCCTGGGGGTCGGGAAGGGCCCATCGGGGTAGACCTACGACCAAATTGTCGATAATGTCAATGTTTAATATGGCATGTATAGAGATTTGATCAGCGATTCAATATTACATCATTTTGTCATTTTAGCGTAATCCGGGCCCCACATGTTTGGGTTTGTGTGGATTGACGACTATGAGATGTCGTATTGCCATTTGAATACAAAATATAGGAAGAAATTTGATTTCAAACAAAAAAAACAACTTTATCATCCTCGATACTCCATGGGTAACGCTCACTTTCGCTGTGCAGAGAGTGAAAGTGAGCGTTACCCCTCGAGTTTCAACGTTGACCACCAACTTTAAATCGTTTTTTGGTAATGCAAAAAAATAATGATCAGTGTGAAATATACGTGTGCAAGGAAATCACAAAAATGCCACCTTTACGCCAAATTTAAACCACATTTGGTAATGTAAGATGATATTATTTCTCCTCGGCATGTGAAATATATACGTGTACACGGAAATCACTTCAGGTTAAATTGTATTTCTTATCAAAGGCATCTGGAATTTGGCTTCTGCAGACGTATATTTTTTTGGTTTCATAAAGAATTTTCTCTAATTTTTATATATCTGCTATTGTTAATTGTGTGTTTAAACAAATTTATGAGCAGCATGGTATCTTAGTCTGTTCTTTGATCACCAAGGCGTATATTGTCATCAAAATCGATCAGGCAGAAAAAATGTTTTCCTTCCAGAATCATTTTGCCATTTAAGGAAAAATTACTTCTTTTGAATATCTCTAATTTCCAGTTAAAAATGAGTAATTGATTAAAAAAATAATAAATTGAATAATTAATTTCAGTTCAATCAGAACTAGATACTGTTCGTGCCAACAGAGGGATTAATATAACTTGAAATCATTGTTTCATAATTGTTATAAAAGAAAGAAAGTTAACACTTTGTTTAACTGTTCGGAAAGTACATGCATCACTCGAATGTTCCAAGTTATTTACACATATTCGGAACACCTCACTATTTACATGGGTATACATTGAAAAAAAACACTAATTTATTCTATATGAGACATCGGGAGCATTAGTACTAGCCCCGATTTTGACATGACAGATGTCCCCTATAATAGGAGGCTGGCCCCTTAATCCCAGAACCCGACATAAAGGGCTGAACATCTGTACCGTAAAATCCGTCCCTTTCCGTGACTAAACACCCGTGTAAACGGTGAAGTGCATCGGTTGAGGCGCCAAAGGGGGTTCTGATCAAAGATAATAGATTTTCTATCAATTTGTGCACATCAATTTAATTTGAGATTTTCCTTACGATACCGACATGGTTATTGGTAGACACATTTAGTTTATTTAAGGATAAATCTAATGAAAATTTGTGCCATATTTTTAAGCCCCCCCCCCTCCCTCCCTCCCAAAGGGCATCATCTATAAAATTGTCAAAGTAAATGAGATTATGCACCCCATTTAAACATACAATTCCCTTATACACCATGTTAATTACACAGACTCCCAATTTATTACAGAAACACAAATGTTATGTTCGAGTTAGTGCCCGCGATATAATCATATAATTAACGGACACTTTATAAGGAAACAATGCAATAACATGCTTTACATGGTTTCGGATTTCTTAATTCCTATGCATTGAATTTTCGTCGTCGCTTATGTCCTTTAATTTAGTTTTGTATGTCGCTTAGACCATAATTAATTCAACAGCAAATGTCGCTTATTGAATTCAAAGGCGAAGCTGATAAATTTGTTCAACAGCTAATGAAGACTGCTGACGGACGATTTGAGCTAAAGGCAACTTGTTTGATATATTTCCTTCCCAAAACAGCCGAACAGGTCGTGAACATTTTTAACCATTAACTAATAACATAAATGTCCCTTAGACAAGTTTCAAAATTTAGCTTTGGATGGTATGTTATAGGACAATTTTTAAACTGTTATCTACATTTTGTTTATTAAGTCAAAAAGTAGTTTTATTAAGAGGATCCCCTTTTTTATTGAATGTCGAGGAAACATAAATCTGCCCCCCCCCCCCTAAAATATTGAATGAAAAATAAAGAATACCAATTGTAATTTTACAAAGTTCAATTAAAAAATGAATTGGAAATGATCGAACGGCGCCAGCATTAAAACACCCAACTTTTGTACCGTGACGTCATTTGCTCTCGATCCAGATGAAACACCCGTTAGATGTCCCGCCATGATAACCAAATGTCACAAGCACATATGTTACAGTAAACGAAGCGAAAGTGACGATATACAATTGGGTCGCACGAGACTTGGCCTCGGAATGAACGATAAAACAATAACACGTGATTCCCGCATGATGACAATACACGAGGATGTGTACTTTATGACGTCATTTTATGGTAGACACAAGTACGTCTGGATTGAGTTTGTTAAAAGCATAATCAGCTTCAACTTTAACAAACTGGCCTGTCCTGTCATTTTTTTCATAAAATTTGTGTTTAAATGAGTTACGTTTCTTAAGTTATGTTAATTAAGTTTAAAGCTCTCAAACACTTACAGATTTTGTATGCTATATTAAAAAATATGAGAATGGCGAAGTTTCCTTGTTTGAACAGTAAACTAACGAAGTTCGATTTCGTTCGGTTATTTGTTGCTAAAGTTGCTCTTGACACATAGCTCTTAATAATTTGTGGAACAATAAACTAAAAAAAATATTTAATTTGCTAAATGAAAAATAAAAGATTAAATCGAAATTTGACAACCCTTATGATAATAAAGAATAATTGCCAATTACCACGTTTGCTCTTTATAAATTAATCACCAGATGGTCATTGTTCCGTGGGAACATGTTGGTGACTCACGCGAGTTTCATAATAATTTTTTTACAGAAAATCCGGCTGGCAGAATTAAGCTCGATGCGTCAGCTTTGGAGGTTCTTCTCCCAAACAATTGTAATCAAACAATTTCCGTTTTGATCTTTTTGGAGGGAAATTAGCTCAAATAAAATGTCTTGTCGACAAATGCGTACATGCGTCCACTTAACATGCTGAATGAAGATGGTTTCTTGCAGAAAACACGTAGCATTAAATCCACACTTTCAATATTAATAAAATATGCAAAAAATATATTTTCGATATAGTAATGCCCAGGGCTGTATTAATTGTGTGTAGCAGGGCCTATTATTATCGTTGTCCCTTCAATAAACGTTCATTACTCCTTCAGCAATTACCGCTTACAGGACAATTGAGGGAGTACTTAAAATTATTGATTTATCGCGCGCGCCTTCTCGTGGCCGGTGACATTAAGGGCCCAAAGGAGGGCCCGACACAATGGGACGGGGACAATGGAGATACACTGCGGTTCAAAGAGCCACATCCCTAATTGTCTGGCTATCGCGAGAGTTCAGGATCCTCATTTGCATTCAAAATCTGTACGTTCCCTGTATCTAATAGGTCGCTAACGACGATGTAGAATCTTTACAAAGAATGTTATGGGGATAAAAATGTGAACTTGACATTTGGTTGGTTTATTTATAGAGCCCTGTGCACCAAGGTTATCGAATGTTTGGCTGGTATTTATATTTAAATAATAACGACATTTTATCGTTGTTTATAATGGTCGCTTTATCTCTTAGTCATACACCATAATATAGGCCAAGCAAAAGAACAGTGTGCTTATAATACCCTGCATCTCTGTTTGGAACTCGGAATGAAATATATATGATACTGTATACAACATTTGATATAGCGCCTTATCTAGCTAGTATACCTCTAAGGCGTTTTAGTTTGGTGCACATCATATAATCAAAACAGGAAAGCAATCAATGCAAATATACAAGTAGGTGATAAAATATCCATGGTTGGCAGTAAAATCTTGGGTAGGTCGGGATACCTATAGCTGAAACACACATATCTATTTTTTGTCTTTCAATAATATACAGCTGAGGTCCTGAAGAACAAAACGTTTGCCATTACAGTGAATTTTTAGCTGTGATCAGAGATTTATATATTAGTTTTATAAAACTCTGCTGTTATGAACGTACCACTAGTTATATAACCCGATCAGTGTGTATTGTGTCTGGCTGAATAGCCGACTAGGTCTCACGAAACTGACGCACGTGACCCGATCCCGACCTACAAATTGATACCGTTAGGAAGTCGAGTAATTGCTTGTAAATGCTAATTAGATACAGGTAATGTCCAGGTATGCTGTTCAGACCGATGTCGATTTCCGCTCGCGACGTTTGTTCATTTGAGCACCATAAAAGCATTTTATCGATCGATGAAGACAACGACCTAACTTTGCCATTTTCAGTCGTTATCTTTGTCCACAAATAACTATGTGGTTTACGCACGGTCAAAGGCGTAAATGTTTCGTGTGAGATGGAAATAAAAATCTAATTACCATCCAACCAGGTGTTTATAACAGGCAAATCCCCAGGTGAGATTATGAGCTTGCTAGCTAGTATCGGAATTGATTTGTTGGGGGTGTATCGCTATATGGGGTCGAGAAGCGAGAACGAATTTACACCCGTGTGTACAGGTACACGCACACGGCTGGTAATTATTTTAAGACAATAAAACTATCTAATATTTTAGGCTATAAACTATATAACGGGAAGATGTAATCTCCACAATGGGTCTGATGAAGAGGATAATTTATCAATCAATGGATTGTCCCCCTTATCAAGGAAAAATCTCTGATTTAAAAACAGATTACCAATTTATAGATGCTGGAATTTGTCGATCAGAAATTAACTAGACCTTATCGCTTTAAAATGGTAAAGCATTACTGAAATCTTTATCACTTCTATTCATGCGAGAGTTGGTTTTATGGTGAAATATCCAGATTTATTAAAAGATCAATTAGCACACGCTAGTTTGTACAATTAATGGTAGTAAAGTTTATAATCGTCGTCTGTCAAATTCAGATTGCTGTCATTCATCAGCTCCATAAACGCAATGGCCCCCTTGTTAATCAACTTTATCATTATGACGTCACCAAAATTATGACGTCATTATGATAACGCTGACGAAACCACTGACCCTACTGGAAGTTGGCCGTTATATCTATTGAACAAACACGCACGATATGAATCAAAATGACATCATGATTTCAATCACGGAATGTTAAGAATAATATAAAAATACACCAGAAATAATAAATAAAGCAAAACTGCTTACAATTGTCGTTCATTGTTTTACATCTGCGTGTATCTAACAGCGGAAATTTCAAAATTACTTCAAAACGCTAATTAACGTGTTTTTATATTGTTCCAATGAATTGCAGCAATATGCTGTCTAATCATGTCGTCAGCGCAATCTAGTTTTCTCAGTTTATTTTTTTCTTACCGTAGCAATGTAGCATACAGGTAAAATGTGTACTTTTACATTGAAGTAAAATATGCAGCTCTCCCCGTCAGACTGTATACTGTCCAGTTACTTCCTTGTCCACGCGCCGCTTGTATCGACTTTCTTGCCAACTTTTACAAAATTCTCCGAATGTGTTCGAAAACGATTCTCTTCAACAGTAACTTAAGTGCGTCTCGGTCAGGAAACCGCAAACAATTATTTTTTCAAGGATGAACTAAAACATATCACTCTGTTTGAATGTTTGAGTAACAGTCCACACTTCTCTGGTACGGTGGGAAAATAATTTCTTTGAAAGACGAGAAATAAAACATAGATATGTAGTTACCTATATTTTATAATAATGAAATACAACATGTATATAGCGCCCAATATAATTTGTAAGATTACTCTAAAGCGCTAATCAAATTGGATAATAGTATTAGTTATAATTGATAAACAAAAAGGCAAACAAATCACCATTATATCATTAAGTAAGGATATTCATCTCAATATACATATAAGTAAATAGATAAAGGGTGGTGTGTACAAAGAGCCTAAAATGCACACGTGAAGTGGCGACATTTTATGTCAATCTTGACCCTACACCATCACCCGTGGGTATATTTCATTGTGTACCAAATGTAACAGGAGAGGAAAATGCACGGTCTGATCAAGATTTGAACCTTGCACCCTTTTCCTTTCTTTTTACCTGCACATGTTATACTTTATATATATTTATATGAATTGTAATATTGTCAGTACTGATCCATAGCTGCTGTTATGTCTATAAGGAGACGGATTTACTTAAGTACTATAATATGTACTTATTTCTGGATCCTTTTCTGTATTTATAACCATGTACTATTGTAATTTAACATCAATAAAATAAAGTTTAAACTAAATAGGAGATGGTTAGCTATTCTACAACGTGGCCGAAACCCTCTTAAAGCATCGGTTTACAGTTTTTGACGTACTTACCCGCCATTTTGTGTACCACGTCTGTCCGTCTTACAAGGTAAAGTTCGCCCCACAGTCCAGTGTTATATATACTTGTTGTCTGAGTTCTTACATCGCCAGGTCCTCATTAAGTCACTCACAGCAATTCTCTTTGAAAAGTTTTTACCTCGTCGGCATTAAACCAGAGAAAATTCCGACTTCACAAGTTAGTCTCTCATGTTTCTATGATGTCACGCAATATCACTGAACCACGAGAAATAACTGTTATATGTATTAACAGGCAGACGATAGAAACTGCTATCCACGTATCAATTGTTTGATTTTTTGTTACTCAAAGTACTCTGATTACCGAGTTAATAACTATAGTCGGGACATAAATATCGACAACTGAACTCGAGCAGACGACAGTTGTTGATGAAGAATCACTTCCTCAATGGATATCGCTGAATTCGTTCGATAAGTTGATGCAGACGACAGAAATGAAATGTCAGTTCGCTAGTCTGCATCCATTTTAGGATGAGAAGTCGGCAGCTGGCCACACAATTAATCAGACAGACGACACTGCAGTCGAGAGACAACTACCCGGCGAGACGGTGAGAGGAGAACTAAACCGGCAAAACGAACAGATGTCTGTATCATAGTCAGCATCCTGTAAAAAGACCCATCATGCACTTCAGTACCCTCATCAAGCTGACCAAGTCACGTGGTACTCGATAGCTTTCACACCCGTAACTATCAGGTTTCACCTCGCTAACCCTGGAGTGTAACTCGAAGCATTCACACACTTGGCTTGTTGCCTGTAAGCCAACTGTATGAAGACGTATTATTCAGGCTATTTCCCGGCGCAGCAGATGTCTAATAGGGGGAAATTAACGCCTTTCACATCAAGTACACGGTTGACTAGTTATGATGACAACGACTATATAAATCAGGTAGAGCGGTCGTAAGGATGTGCCGCTGTGTCTGTGATGACGTCACCTTTCAAAAGCCCCCAGGAACCAAACCTCGCGCCACGGGTAGAACGAGGCACCCGGGTTTGTCTAGTAATTTCTTAATTGGGTGTACCAGGGATTATTTTAAGTGGCAACTGGTGACGTCTCATTAAGCTCATGAATAGTCATGACGTTTAGCAGTTGCATTGTATTAAGCACATTTAATAAGGGTTCTGAAGTACATTTCAAAATAAACGTCTAAAGTAACAATCCCGATTTTCTCTAGATGATGCCCGATTTCCGGAACGTGGATAAGCTCCAATCTAAATGTAGTATTTGAGAAAATCTCGCGAGATTTGATATTTTGAACCAATATGAATTCTCGTGAGTCTTGTTAACCAAAACAAAACGAAAAAAACATTTAAAAGCATACCCCTTTGTGTCAATTGCACGATTTTACCATTCGGATCTAAGAATGAAAGTGCGTACTGTGACGTTTCTATGGACTTTGGTAAATGTAATTTTGCGTTCGTCGAAATTGTCAAAATTTTAGCCCATAACTTAAAAGTGAAGAAAAGTTCTGTGACAAAAAAACCCACCAAAAACAAGAATCACATGAGAGCGGAAATACTGAAACTAGCATGAGTTTTTAATCTTAACCAGGCTACGCCCAACCTCGCCACCACCTCCCTGTCTGACACCCCAACCTCGCCACCACCTCCCTGTCCAAGCACCCCAACATTGCCTAGTACCCCCTTGCTTGAATTTCACTTTCTAATAATGACCACTTGAGATAAAACGTAAGTTTATTTTAAGTGTTTTTTTTCAAACAACCATATCAGATTATTAAACATGAATTGTATATGAAATGTCTATTTTAGACAAACACATTTTAGCACTGGTGGGTGGGTGAGTGGGTGGGGGTGGGG